GATATGGATTTCGTTCGATTTGGAGATACTTTGGACCTTGCAATGTGTAGTAGATCTAGGCTTCTATAGTAGGTAAAGATGGAAGATTTTTGATAGGTGAATTCTAAGGTAGCTGAGAAAGGGGATTAAAAATAGGATTTGAACTAGGAAGAGACGCATTTCTTAGTAGAAATAATATGATACCCTTTACATAATATCCTTAGTATCCAATCTCTCTTACTTTCTCTCCATTCCCTTCTTCCCTTTTCCTCGGAAAGAGCATATTTTCCATCTTTTCTTGGTGGCTCAAGTGAAGTGAAGTGAAGCTTGAAAATGATGGATGAATGGATTAGGGTTAGCGTGGTTTGGAGAGGATGAAACTTGAGTTGAATTGAGTTGACTTTTCCTTGCGGATTTCACTTCACCACTACGGTATAAGAGTCAGATCGGGTTTCTATATACTTTGAACTTTGAAGTTCAGATGAGAATACTTTGAATTTGTTTATTTTTCTCTTGTAATCTTATAGGTTACAGATTGATACTTTTCTTTGATATTATACGCATACCTACTCATTGTCTCGTTCATCTTTCTCATCCTTCTTTTTCAGCAGACAGTTAGAGTAGATAGCAGAGAAGAGGAGAGAGGAAGATAGAGAGAGGAATCGATCAAATGCGCATCTCCATTCTCTTTTTCCGCTATTATTGGGTTCTCACGATTGATACACTGGAATTTGTTTTCATTCTTGTGACGATCGCTTTTATTATCTTGAGATTATTTGGTTGAGGTGGTGTGTTGAGTTTGATTGTTATACTGTGTTTCACGCCTTTGATATTGAGAGAGGGAGAGGAAGAAGAGAGAGAAAGATTCAATGCGCATTTCCATTCTATTTATGGGATTCGATTGGCTGTTGATTGTTGATACATTGGAACTCGCTTTTATTCTCATTGAGGTTACATTTGTCGTTTTGAGGTTGTGGGGTTGAGGTTTGAAAGAGACTTATTGAGATCTTCGAGGGGAAGTTGAGAAGTTCATGTCGGCAAATACTTCGAGAGAAATTTTCATCCATTTGATGATTATTTTCCATGCGGTTACATTGGTTTTTGTAATCTTGCGCGCTATTCTCGTACAGCTGCGCCAGCCGACTTGTCGGTGTAAGAGGAATTGAAGTGAGAGTTGTCCGTCTCTTCTGTCTTCATTTTACTTCAAGAAAGTTAGCACCAGGTGGATTTACAAGACATTTATATCTTTCATCACAATCATTACGAACACAATACTCGTTAATTATCTTCACGACTCGACCATATCAGATACCACTCACCTTGATAATCAAGACTTTCGATTCTCAAACAACACTCGAAAACAACCATCACCATGCCACCCAAACGCAAAAAGTCTCTCCTTGAGTCCTCAACCGAATCTCCCACCCCAGATGACAACTTCGACGTCGCATCCGTTGCATCTATACCTTCTACCGCATCCGCTACGCCCGTTAAACCCAAGGCCAAAAAACCTAAAGTCGAGAAAGGAGAGAAAGTCGAGAAAGTGAAAGCTCCTCCTAAAACCAAAGCTTCTATTAAAGAAAAGGCCCCACTTAAAGATAAAGAGGCGAAAGGAAAGGGTTTGATTAAGGAAGTCAAGGAGACGAAGGAAAATAAGGAAACGAAAGATACTAAAGTTATAGGTAAAGATGGCAAGGAGAAAGTGAAAGCTGTGACGGGTGATGAGGCACAAGAGGTATTGTTGGAATATTTGAGTAGGGAGAATAGACCTTTTAGTGCGGGGGATATTAGTGGAAATTTACATGGCAAGGTATGTATTTCTCTCTATTTTCGTCTCGTTTATCTTGTCGCAGTACCTCATCCCATCCCATCTCACCTCACATTCCCTTAATCCTTTCCATCTCATACTACATCCACCCCACCATAAAACATCCGAATACTAACAACCAACACCCCATCAGGTAACCAAAACCCTCACCGACAAACTCCTCAAAGAACTCTGTAACTCCGGCCTCGTTAATGGAAAAGGTACGAATGGCGATGGAAAGGGCTCACAGTGGGTATACTGGGCCCTTCAAGATCCCAATTCTTCTCTCTCCCCCGAACAACTCGCAGAAATGGATTCTCAGATTGAAGATCTGCAGGGTAGATTGCCGGAATTGAAAATGGATGCTAGGAAATTGAATATACAACTTGCGGGGATGAAAAAGGAAATGGGGGTTCAGGAATTGAAAGATGAGATTGAGAGATTGGAGGAGGGGAAGAGAGAGAAGGAAGAGAGATTGAGGGGATTGAGGGAGGGAAGGGAAGTTGTGAGGAAGGAGGAGGTGGAGAGGGTGGAGAGGGAATTTACGTATTGGGGAAAGATGAGGGGGGTTAGGAAGAGAGGGTTTGAGGGGGTGGAGGGGATGTTGTTGGAGGGAATGTCGAAGGAAGATGTTTGGGAGAAGGCCGGGATTGAGGGGGATGGGGAGGGGGAGTTGTGATTTTGAGGGTGGATCGCATGTTCAAGACTTGAAGGAGGATATTTGCTTGTTGTTTTGCTTGAAGGTAGATTTGTTTGTGTATGAGGATAGGATGAGCATAAAGACCAGAGATGCTCTATCTGGAAAAATCTTGAGGAACCAGGACCTGGAGGGAAATCAAATGGCATCCGTGGATCATGAAGTCGCACGGTGTTTTATACATAGCTGGTTTTAGCATCGTTACTGTATATATATGAAGCCAATACAGGAGATCAATCTTCACATCAAAGACATGAAGATTACTATTCTACAAACCCTTGTTAAATAAATAACAAGTGATCCATCCCTTCTCGCTTCCAAAGCCAAGCGGTTTAAATATCAAGACGGTATTAAATCACCTAGTTATATATATATATATTTTGATCCCTTCCCACCTTTCTAGTCCTTTACATACTTATTTGATTTTCTTCAAGTACCTAGGTAGATTAATGTTCTTCGAATATACAAACCTATCCGAGTCGCGGTAGATACAGTAGATACTAAATAGTTTCGATACAAGTTATAATAAATGCTAAGTGGGATTTATATTGATATCTTCTTGCTATCTCTCGGGTTTCGCTTGTTACTACTAGATATGTCACTTGTTGAGAGATGTGTTTTTGGGATGTGCTTTGAGGATGTATTTCTTCTGTTTTGTTTTGTTTTGTTTTGTTTTGTTTTGTGTAATAGGGATGGATGGATGGATGGGCTTTGGAGTTTTTTGTTTTTGGGTTGTGGGGGGGATTAAAGAGGTGATGAGGATGTGCTGGGAAAGTAAAATTGGGAGGAGCAGCTGGAATGGGTTATAATTATAATTATAATGATTTTGATAGTGATAGTGATTCTGATGCTATAAGTTTGTTGATGAGTATCTTTCTTTATACTAGGTAAGTAGGTGAATGAATATATTGATTCAATGTACCTAGGTATTGGATTAGGTAGGTAGGTAGATTATCTTAGATGGTAAATGATAGATTAGATATCTAGTGATTTATATATAGACCGTGAGGAAATTTTGATTGTGTGAATTCTGTTTGGGTAGGTAGGTAGGTAGGTAGGTAGTGGAAGATGGAGATGGGATGGAGATGGAGATGGAGATGGAAATGAAGATAGAGATAAGATAGAGATAGAGATGGAGGAGATAGAAATAGAGATGGAGATAGAGATAAAAATGAACATAGAGATAGAAATAGAAATAGAAATAAAGATAAAAATAGAAATAAAATAAAAATAGAAATAAGATAAAATAAAATGAAAATAAAAATAGAGATAAAGATAAAAATAGAGATAAAAATAAAAATGAAGATAGAGATGGAGATAGAGATAGAGATGGAGATGGAGATAGAGGTGGATGAAGTATAGAGATGAACGAGATTCAATTTGTAAGTATCTAGATAATAGAGTTTGTTATTTATAAGAATACTAAATAATAAAAGATAAATATGAATGAGAAAATTGAAGGGAGATCCATTGTTTGAGTAGATGAGATTTGGGGTTGGGGTTGGAGAGGGAAGTGTCATATGAGGAAATGGTGGTGTTATGAGAGTGAGAGTGAGAGTGAGATTTGGATTTGGATTTTAGATTGTTGGGATGTTAACCTTATAAATGAGAAGAAAGGAATGGGGGTGAGCTGGAAGAGGATGAGGAGAGAAGGATTAGGGGGTTGGAATGATGTAGGGAAGTGTACTAGAAGATGGTAGGGGAGTATCTGGATAAGTATTACTATAGGTAGGGAAGATTAGGGGGTGAGAAAGTAAGGTTGGGGATGGTTTTAGTTTTTGGGTTGGATTAGATGTTCGATTGCTTGTGAGAGTTGGTTGTTGAGATGAAGTGAGTATCTGAAATGTATTCGATGTTTGAAATATACTCAATGTTCAAAATGTATTCAGTATCTGAGAGGTATTCAATGTTTGAAGTGTACACAATGTCCAAAATGTACACAATGTCCAAAATGTACACAATGTTTGAAATATATTCAATATCCAAAATACATTCAACATTTGAGAGATTTTCAATGTTTGAAGTGTAAACAATCTTCGAAATATATTCAATATTCAAAATCTACTCAATGTCCAAAATCTATTCAATCTTCGAAATCTATTCAATATCTAAAATGTATTCAATGTTTGAAGTGTAGATCCAATGTTCAAAACACATGCAACAATCAAAACCCATCCATTTTCCCAACAGTGCTCAGCAACCCAAACCTCCTCATTATTTAACTGCGACTCAGACAATCAAATCTGAATCTCTATACCGAGCAATGGGGAGGGAGGGTATGTCAGTTGCAAAGGCAAGAAGTATGGATGATATCGTCAAATCGTGACTGTTCTTTCCCATTCAAGATATCAATATCCCCCCCCCCCAAAAAACGGAAAGAGTGATAGAGATAAGTCCTCTATTTAATGTTAATTTTTCTTCTCTTCTCTTTCATTTCTCTTCTTTTCTTTTTGAATCATGAATCGCAACCCCGTTGATCAAAGCACAATTTTTTTTTGATATTGTCTCAATATCAAAATGAGTTACGCAACCTTTTTGGCCACTGTGGCCACCATTTTCACTGTTTTGGCAGTACTTTGTGCTGCCCCTTTCGCTTTCGACAGAATGGGTTGGCGATTTCCTGGGGCTCCGCCGCTTCCTCTTCCGCCGCCTCCTCCCCCTCCCCCTCCCCCTCCCCCTCCCCCTCCCCCTCCCCCTCCCCCTCCCCCTGCGCCTCCCGCTCCCGCTCCCGCTCCCCCTCCTTGCGATGCTCGTGTTCTTGCACAATTGCAACGCGATGTTCAAATTATACGCCAAGTCTTGACTGTTCTCGGCTTTCTTGCTCTCCGAGAGCAGGACGACGCGACAGATGAGATGATCGACATCTTCCAAAATCTCACCCTCGGTTAAATACAACACTCGACATCGACACTATTACTATTACCTATCCTTATCATATCCTTATTAATCACAAATATAATTATCACCAGCGTCAAGTTTGCACTTCTCCGCAGTGTTGGTGACTAGTAACCTTCGGGTGAAGCCAAGACAAACTTTGCAATCATCTAGTTTTTGTTTCCAGAACTAGCATCCTTTCTGCAGTATAGCTCTCTGAACTGCAAGAATACGGCTTTGTTCTCCGGTGTCAACAGTGAGTCAAATTTGAAGTCCTCACCACCCTCGAAAGCAGAACATAACTCTCCAGCCTTCGGCGAAACCTTTACTTCATCTTGAGCTGTTTTATCAGTCTTAACGCTAACTCTCCATTCCAGCAGAGTTCTGAGTAGTCTTCTCCGCGTTTCTGCTGTGGGCGGAAGATGTCGACTCCACAATTCCCCCTCCGGCTCAGATCCCAAGTCCATCCATCTAGTGTAGAATCTTCCCCATCCAAGACCTTCGCAGTACACGATATCAATCCTGTATTCCGTAGGACATCTCTCACATCTCATCACCCCAAAACCGACCGCATCCAAGAAAGAACGGGGCGATAATCTGATATGCGTACATATCGTCTCTGCTGGAGAGAAGTAACTTCGAAACGCAGTGTGTTTTTCACCGCAATCAGAAATGAATACACTTTGCAACCGATGCATCAGATGCCCTTCAACAATACGACATTCTTCTCTATATTGTCGTACATACTTTTCCCAGTCAGCCATCCTCACGCTCGGACTGGACATCATCGTCACCAGTTCCGTACACGCGGGATTCTGATGCGCTCTTTTCAAGGCCATCTTGACCGCAGTCGAACCAAAAAGAGTACTAACTATACTACTACATCTCCCCCAATCCTCAGACACACAAGCTGGAAGACGCAACCCATCGTACCGACGTGTTGTACTCTCAGCACTGTAGGTTATATCGCAATATCTGAGCAAATTTTCCATATTGTGCAGTCGATTGCAGGCAGAACAAGCAATGCAGTTTGGGAGATCGAGGACTATAAGATTCAAGAGTGCAAGTGTGTGTTCATTTGAGGAAGCGATTCTTGAGAAGTATTCACCTCCGAGTTTTTCTTTGAGTTGTCGACAGGAAAGGGAAAAGATTACTGCGGATTCGAGAGGGAGAAAGTCCATGATATGGAAGAGGATGTCTACTGGTATATCTTTTAGGGTGGAAGATCGTAAGGCATCGGGTCGCGCTTTTAGAATGGAAGCCGATAAGGCATCGGGTCGCGGTGCAGGAGTGGGTTTCTGAGGCTTTCGGAATAGGACAAGGAGCTTTCGAAGAGGATTCATTGTGAGAGATTTTGATTAGTGTGTTACACAACGGAAAGCTTTGAGGATAGAGGAATGACTTTTTATTATGTAGGAAAGTATGAGCGAAGAAAATGGATGGGTGAATCATACATATCTGTTCTCTTATTTTCAATGACGATGAATCTAGTCTTAGTCTTGAATATAGTTGTTTACACGTGATAATTAATCAACTGTTACTAATTTAGTCACTTATTAGTTTCGAAACTATCATAGACTATACTATCTGGCACTTGGAAAAGATATACCAATCAGAGATCACGTATACTCGACCTCTCAATATAAGAATGCCGACGAGAAAAAGAACTCTCAAGCCTGTTGGAAATAGAGTTTCAAATTTCAGAGAAATCTTACCATTTTATATCCTTAGCCATGAATAAGCTGGGATATGAGATATGATATGATATGATATGATATGATGTGATATTCACCAACTATTCCTGAACTTTCGGAATGATGGGATATAAGAATTAATCATCTCTACCTACCTACCTAGGCAGTAGGTAGGTATTGCTTACATCCCTCTATAACCCGCCTCTTCCTAACGAATCGAAAACCAGTAGTACCGATGTCTATTCTCCATTCTACATTCTACTTTCTACACACGACTTTCCGCCCCGTGAATCAGGAAAGGGGTTTCGAATTGGTGTACCTATCCATAGTTACTCATATCTATGAAATGAATTTACATACTAGGTAGTGTTGAACTCCATGTACTATGTATAGATGTAATATCTATGATATGGAATAATCCATAAACATTAATATCAAAGCAAATTAAATATCGAGTAAGCATCGGAGTAGAGAACTTCTCCTTCTTCTTCTTCTTTTTCTGTTTTTGTGATATATATCTACTGTGGATATCTGATCCGGGTTGATCGATTTCTCTGCTTGAGTATCTAGTGCTTTCATATATGATGCATGATACAGCATATTAATATATCATAGAAGATACCTAGTATCATCTATTTCTTATAGTATTTGTAATAGTAATACTGTATTATATGGTGTTTGATATTCTTGATAGATGTTGAGAGTGAAGTTAGATATGTTGATTTACCTACTTGGTGTTTGTTGTGTGAGATTGTGTGTGTGTATAGGTAGGTATAGGTAGGTAGGTAGGTATGTATGTATATCGCGAATAGAGAAAGCAGATGGAAAGTAATGAGATGAAATGAAATAAAACAAAACAAAATAAAACAAAAGCAGACCAAACAAAAGCAGAGATTCAGACACCTACCTACGTACCTATCTACCTATCTAGATACGATATACAATATACAATAATTATACACCAGCTTACGCGATACCGATATCGAGACTGCTAGAGTACCGCCACTTTTGTCCGATGATATAATCTTATAATCTATAGGTAGGTATGTGTCTACTCTATATCTGCTTTGTATAGATACCTAGGTATATATATATATATATTACATAGATACCTAGGTAGATATCCATTGTAAAACTCAACCCAACCCAACCCAACCCAACCCAGTCTCACTTGATCTGGTCGGATCTAGGTAAGCGGTATATGTTTACATAGGTATACTATTATCAGTACCGATGTCAGTACCGATGTCAGTACCGATGTCAGTACCGATATCGAAGCGGAGAATTATCTCCAGAGTTAGGTTGGGTTGATGAATGTATGTGAGTGGATGTGTGGATGTGTGAGTGAGTGCATGTATGTATGTGTGATACTATCCACATGAACATTCATTCATTCATTCTTTCTTTCTTTCTCGTTTGTCGGATTTTAGAGCTGTAACTATTACCTAGGTACCTAGGTAGCTGGAGGTGTTTGTTTATTATTCTTGGTTGGGTTGGACTGGGGGCTTGATGGAGGGAGGGAGGGATGGATGGGATGAGACATAGAGATAGAGGAGTGGATTGTGTGACATGTGATTTGTGATATGTGATTTGTGATAGGATATCGGTACCTAGGTATTGTAAGTTATTACCTAGTAGGTATATACTGAAGAATGCTTTGTAATAGATGAGATCTATGGATGGGATGGATGGATGGGTAGATATGTTGCTAGAGCGGCTGATGGAATGGGATACCCGTGGACTGATCGGTAGGTAGGTAGGTACGGAGATCAAAAGATGGGATGAATGATGAATGAATGATGAGGCGAGAAAGAGATGGAGATTGAGATGGAGAAAGAGATGGAGAAAAAGATGTGGCTGATGATTCGAACTCGATGACATCCATCCATATTAATGATTCTTGGCTGTGTGGTTTAAGGCTGGGATGGGAGTCAACTTTGCTTGTTTGGATATGTACTAGGTACACCAGGTAGGTATGTAAAGAAGTATACTATTTAGGTATATATACCTATACATAGATTGAATGATTACTATTTATCAAGTACTGTACTTGGGAGTCTTGGGTATCCAATGCATATCGATATCGCTTCGGAGAAATCGAACTCGTTTAATAAGGTTTAAGGTTAGATCAGATCGGATTTATATCATCTGATACTCAGGTTCCCGCCATTCTTGGTGCTTGGGAATGGATGGATGTGTGGATGGATATTGGATGATGAATGAGTGATGTTAGTAGGTATTCGGATACGATGGGATGGTATTTGATGAGTATTTGCATGGGTTTGAAGCTTCTCTCATTCATGTATGCGGATGTGTAGATAGGTAAGTCGGGTACCCTACTTTCGGGCCACCCCCCTTTTGGGCCACTTTTTACACCAAAAATACACCAAAAATGGAACTTATAACTTTCTTATTTATGAATAGAATTCAATAAAAATTTATATATATATAATTTAAATCGATTTAAGCTTATTCTAAAAATTTTAGATTTTTAGGATTTTTCTATATTGAAAACTAGAATTTCAAAATATTTTTTTTAAATTTATATAAAAATCATATATAAATTTAAATTTTTTATAAAATCTTTAATAAATTTCTAATAAAAATTACTAAAAATAAACTATAAATTTTACTATAAATTTATAATATATTCAATATAAGAGATTCAAAAAAATAATTTTTTTTTATAAATAAATATTTATAAAAATACTTTTAAAATGATAAGAATTATTTATACTATTTTAAACTCATTATATATCATATTTTTATATCTATTAATTTTTTGAATTTTTTTTGAATTTCTATATAGATTCAAGTTTAAATATTTCAAAAATATATATAGTTTTCTTTAATAATTATTGTTAAAAAGTATTAAAGATTTTATAAAAAATTCAATTTTGTATATGATTCTTATACAAATTGAAAATCGATATTTTGAAACTTTAATTTTCAATATAAAAAAATCCTAAAAATCTAAAAATTTCAGAATAGATTTAAATCGATCTAAATTATATATATACAAATTTTCATTAAATTATATTACATATTGTGTCACGGAATTCACCGTATAGTTTAACTTTACAATCACTAATCCCGGTATTCCTTTAAAATACTTATTTCTATAATTATTAATATTATTTCATTCATTTTATTTATATACCCTACATATTTAATTAAGTGAATATCTTATCTAATTAAAATATATAAAGTAGATATAATTATTAAAATTATATTTTAAATTAATCTAATTTATTATTATTTTATATATTTATTTCTAAATCAAAATAATTATTAAATATAGTTATTATCTTTGTAATAGTT